ATCTGCTTAAAACATATTTGCAAAAAATTTTTAGGTCAACCCACATGACAAAATTCACATGAAATAATCTGCAAGTAAATTCTCAAGTAGCCAATTTGGTAGATAATTCCCCGAAAACAAAGTTACGCACAAATCCCCAAGAATAATTCTTAGGAAATGTTATTTACAGATTTAATGTAGAATTTATAGTAAATCTGTAAAAAAAATTGCATGTAATTTCACATAAATCTGCACATAAATCTCTGAAAAAAATTTGCAAGTTTTTGAGGAAATATTACCTACAAAATTTAATACAGAATTCACAGGTAAATCTATAGGAGTAATTTCGCATGAAAAAAATCTATAGCTAAAACCCTAGGTAACCTATGTCATAGATAATTATTCAAGAAATAAATCTGCATATAAATCCTCTAGAAAATTTCATAGGATGTTTCTCAAGAATCATTACTCGTAGATTTTAATGCAAATTTTATAGGTAAATTCATAAAAAAAAATTCTCATACAATTTCTCATGAAAAATTCCATACATCAATCCTTGTGTAACCAATTTCATACATAATTCTGAAATAAATAGTCTCTTGTAAATTCATAGGAAAAATTCGCAGGAAGTTTCCCAAAATATTACTTATAAATTTTGATATAGAATTTCATATAAATACAGAATTCCCAACAAAATCCGATGTCTTATGTAAACATAAAAAATAAAACTTCCCTACTAGTTAGTGGGAACATTTATTGCAAAAATTCTTAAGAATTTCTTTCTCGCAGCAAATTTGTTGTGAATTTTTTCACAAATTTTTCATTGACAAAAAAGTTTCTTTGATAACATTTGTACCTATTTTCAAAAAAATTACAGAAATTAATTATAAAAAACATATGTAAAAAAAATTCACAAGAAATAAGCACTTTCTCTTGTAATGCACAGCAAACTATGATGGTGTGTAAGGCAACAAAATTCTATTAAGCAAACGAGAATGTAAGTGTTTTTTAAAAATGGATATGACAGGTATTTTATAATAGAAATTTTCGTTTCCTAAAGAATTATGATTCTATTAAATGAGAGAATTCAAATTTCATTACTAAACTAATGGAATCCTCGTTTACATATATAATTACTATAATACCTTTTACTTTTTAAATAAATAATAAAAATATATTATAAATATAAAAAATTATAAGTATTTATAATATTCTATATTAATGTAATATATTATATATATCTGTTATAATATAATAAATTGTATAATATGATATATTATATTATATTCATTAAATATATAATATAATATATATAACTTATTTTATATACATATCAAATATATATATATATATATGTGAATTTAATATTTTAATGTTAAAATTAAAAAATTATTTTTAATTTTTTATTATATCTAGAATATATTAAAAGTTAATTTTTTTAATTTTTAAATTTTTATAATAAAAAATATTTTTACTTTTAAACATTTTTTATTACAACATACTAAATATAACGATGAAATAAGAATTTTATTATATTAATATGTACTAAATATATTCATAAAATTTTAATTCTATTTTATTTCTTTTTCACTTCTTTTCTTACTCTTATTTTTATTTCACCAAAAATCACTCTATCACCCGCCGTATGATACCAAAGAATTGGATAGTACTGCCCTAGAGCCTTGATCACATGGTTCTTTCAAGTTGTATGGAGGAGCATAATTATCAAAATCTCACCTTAAAACTTAAATACATACGTTTTTATACTTATATCAAATATTTCTAAATATGCATAAATTTTTTTTTAAGAAAAATCTGGTAAAAAATCGTTCTAAATCGATAAAAAACATAAAATAACACTTTACAATTATTTTTTTTGCACTATATTAATTTATAATTATTTTTTTTCAAAATATTAATTAATATTATTTATTAATTTTAATCAAATTAATTATTTAAAATTTAATATAAATATTTTACACTTATACTAATATTAATTATTTTATATATATATATTAAAATTTTTATTTTTACATTTTCACTTTTATAAAATCTAAATGGCTTTGAATAAAAATTCAGTCTTGATAACGTTTGCGCTGGGGCCAATTAGCAAGCTGATACGTGGACAAAGGGGGAGGATAGTTTCGGTAATGAAAAAATGAAGGGCTGGGATCTAATCAAAATTGTCGATCTCCCCACTCACGGGAAAAACCCTAGATCTATTTGTATATAATCGTCGCATCGCCTTCTGTTGGTGTCTCTTTGCTTAAAACCCTAGGACTTCTGCATCGTTCTCCTGCATCCCCGGCATTCGAGTCACTGCTTAACGGATCTAGATCTCCTAAGTAAGCTCTCTCCTCTCCCCCGCCTTCTTTATCAGCATGAACATGCAAAGCATATAATCTATATTCATTAGATTTATGGTGTATATTGATTATGCTTTACTACTGTGTTTTCGCCCTCAGCAGAATGAAGGTGATCGCTGCCTACTTGCTTGCGGTGCTGGGAGGCAACACCACCCCTTCGGCCGATGATCTGAAGAACATCCTCGGTTCAGGTACGTCCTCTCTCTGTATCTCCACATCATATTCATTTGACGCCGGCTATGCTTTGAAGGATTTTTAGTGTTAAAATGAGTAATTGGCTAAGATGGATTCAGTGAAGTGGTTTGGATCTGTTTTGTGTATTTGTTATGAAATGGACTGTCTAATGTACATGAGACTATGGAAATTGTGAAATACTCTGGAATACTTTGTGACTTTACCTCTGGAAGTTGCGTTGTTAGGAAAGAACTGTATAATTTGTTACTCTGGGTTATCAGATCTATATGGAGATTATATATGAAACGATGATTTGAAAATTTTGAAGTTGTAGCCTTTCCGTTGTATGCATTATAAGATAGCAATTTTCATTTGTTTCATGTCATTTCCTTTGAAAAATTCGATAACTGCTATGGGATGCAGATACCTAGACCCTTTTCTCTTTCCCTTTTTATGTCTTCTTTGGGGGCCCATTTGGAGGGAGTCCTACATTTTCCTGGCTTGGTAGCTGGGATTGGGTTCAGTTTGAAACTGCTTTTTCTATATAAAAAGGTTTTCTTAGATTTTGTTGCTTTGGTTTAAGTAGTAGAGTTTGAAGCATATGGTGATGACTTCCCAAACCCCTTTTAAGCAGCTGGCAAATAAATTTGTATTTGATGTTGTATGGATAAATGTGGGTCTGTGAAGGCATGTGCCCACACTTTACTGGGCCTCTAAAAAGTCATTATTTTTCTTTTTTTTCCTTTTCATAAACATGCTTACATTTTACTAATTTTTGGTCTAGCTGATCATATGATCATGGGTGTATGTATATATGATACTGCTACTATTTAATCTAAGTAAATGACCATTACTGCTTCCACTGCACTAAAACTTTTTGCTACACCAGATGGTACTGGATTCAAATACAGGATGTTCTTGGGCTTGTATGGCATGTTAAAATCATCCAAGTCCAGAATACTTTGCATTTTTTATATTGCAAGCGGTTATTTTTAATATTTTTTTCTTCACACAGTTGGGGCTGATGCTGATGATGAGAGGATTGAGTTATTATTGTCTGAAGTCAAGGGCAAAGATATCACGGAACTAATTGCTTCTGGAAGGGAAAAATTGGCTTCAGTTCCTGCTGGTGGTGGCGGGGTTGCAGTTGCTGCTCCTGCTGCTGGTGGTGCTGGTGGTGCAGCTGCTGCTCCTGCTGCAGAGGCAAAGAAAGAGGAGAAAGTGGAAGAGAAAGAGGAATCAGATGAGGTATTCACTCTCATGAGAGCACTTTGTATTTGAGTCTCTAGATATGATAATTGCTCCTGTTACAAATTTATGCCTACCATATATTTTGTATTTTCCATTAACTTTATTGTATTCATTTCCCTGACTTCTATTTCTTCCCTAATTGTTTTGCAGGATATGGGCTTCAGTCTCTTTGATTAAAGAATTGAGTTATGAGTTGTGTGAAGCCTTCATTTTTCGGTTTGAATCTAGCAGTTTCTTATATTTCTATTTTACTAGTTTTTGTTGGAGACATGAAATTTTGTTTAGATTAATGAGTTGAAGAAAAGTGCTGAAACATAGTTGTTACTTGAGTTTGTCTTTCTTGGCTGATGGGACTAATTTCATAATTTGCATTTACATGTAATGTTACACATTCAGAAGCTTCTGCACCAAACAAAATCATGGACACACTAGTTTTGTTCTACTTTCTGCAGGAATGTCTATCTGTATCTGGGTGTTATGCGCCCGCTTATCGAGTCTTTTAGCAGAAAAGCTTAAAACCAAATAGATTTTCAAAATCTTTCTTTTTTCTTTTTTCTTTTTTCTTTTTTAACAATCAGACATCTTGTGTCTAGTTTCATTTTTCAACAACAAAATGGCCCCTGTAGTACAATCAAGCAAGTAGTTGCGGATGTACTGAGGCATTTGTAGTTTGTGGATTAAATACTTTTTCCCCCCTTTGTTCTGGGTGGGGTTCCGTGTACGCCGTGTCTTGATGAAAGAATACAGAAAATAGTTGGAATGGTTAAACGTTGCAAATGAAGTTTTCGTTACTCCTGCTAGGAAGTGGAGGATAAGTAGTGTCAAATGGATGATTCAGTTGAACTCTCGTTCCGTTTTGGTGTCCGAACCAATTTTCATCCTACACTTTCTGGATGGAACAAAATGATTAAGGTGGTTTTGTTTTTATGCTTATGCTTAATATATTAGGGTTACACTATTTTGGACATTGAAGGAAGAAAGGAAAACAAGTGGGGAGATTTCGAACAAGAAGGTCAATGCTCCCTTCATATTTTCTGCAAGGGAAAAAGCAAGGTAATAGCTTGAGCTTTCTTAACTACCACTATCCCTAAGGAGACACAATCTCATTACCAACTTCTGGAAATTCTTACATATTTATTGCCCCAAAAGAAACTTGTTCAGTTAATCAGGTAGAGGGAAAATGAAGGAAAATTGATTTACAAGCAAGCGTAATTTACAAAGAGCAACTTTCTACATGGTTGCTAAAAGATCTCTCATTTCAGACACAGCTGGGATGTTTTCCGTCGGGTACACCTTGGCAACAAGTTCTGCAAAGCTATGATACTTGTCCAAAAAATCCTTCTGTCAAAACATAGAAAACATGCTTGTTAGATGCTGTGAACAATTGGGAACAAAAGCTTTGTTAATGCAGCCTATCTTATCTACTTGTAAAGGTATCATCCAATAAAAAAGGACAAAAAATGCGTTTCCTAATTTAGGCCAAGTCAATTTTGCTCACATTATCACTTATTATGCACCAAGTGAAAGATGATTATCACTGAAGCTTAGTTCAACTTATATTCTCAATGGAGACTTTCTCCTCTGAAATTATTAACTGGTTCCAAACATGAAAGTTTAATTTCCATAGTAGTTAGTGCAGCACCGAAACTTAGGGAATACAAGAGATCATAACTAGCTTCATCAATCTGCTGAAATTTGGTACAACATATTTTCCTCTTTTACTACTTTATAGTTTAGATTGGGTGCTGCTTTCTTCCTTCACCATCTTTACCCAGTTTTTGCCTTCTATTTATGTCTTCACTTTTTAATCGGGCTTATCCTTGAAAAAGAACATCACACACAAGTCTGATACTAAAAAACCACTGAAGCATGAATATGCAATAAGAAACAACTATGTACTTGCATTTGTCCCATAAAGATGGCAATAACTCCTCCGAGGTTAAGTTCTTCTGTAATTTCTTATACATTGCATTGATGGACTTGTCAACCTATACAAGTCTTGGTCAGTGTCATTTAAATATATTGGTAAATAAAGACTGAGATATTATAATGGTTATGGATTGACTTACTCCTGATAAACTTGCTTTCACCACCTTCCGTAAATCCATTTTTGACAGTCCAACTTGAAATGCAATCTGAAATTATAGAGCAAAATTCTATTGCTTAGCTACTTATCATAAATTCATCATAACTAGCACGAGGGTAAAAAATCTGAAGGTTAGCACTTATTATTGAGTACTATTATTCATACATCTTACATGAATATAATGACGTGTAAAACTGGGGTTTCTCATTATGATATTCTCGGTGCAGCTTTAGGCACGAGACCTTTAACTTAACCATCCCCCCCCCCCCCCCACCCCCCACCCCCCAACCCAAAAAAAAAAAAAACCTGCCTCCTCCCCCCACCCAAAGTAGAGAGGCATCAGCCTTTCATTTTTTTCTTTTAAAAATAAAATTGGCAGTGAACTTTGCTCAAGTAGTATTGCACCAATATGAAAAGCATGTGCTGGCTACAAGATAGAAGTCCCGGCTATAACAAGTTTCAAGGCTGAAAAACTAGTTTCAGGTAAATCAACACTAATGCTTTCCAAATTTCAAGAAGTCCAGCCTGGAAACACAGTATCTTTTCTGATTTTGGCTAGCTGACCGGGGAGAGTAAAAATGCAGATATACTTACTGATGATAAATGATTTTATGGACAAACTCTAATACTAACCTCTTCTGGCGTTGTTGTGTATACCAAATCCTCAATTCTTCGAGCAAACTGGAAAAGTCTTTCAAATTGCTGCAACCAAATACAATTGAAATGTAGTGACCTCAACAATTAAGAACACACTATCAGACTGTAAATTGAGAACTAGCTAGGATTCAATAGAAATTGAGTGCAAATTGAAATCCATTAGTCAAAACACAGATAAATGGAAAATTATAAACTTTAAAGGTTTTGATTACTTACATAATATATAATCATGCTGATATGACGTGTGCAAGCTAATTCATAATTTTCACTTGCCTGGTGATAAAATTTTGCTAAAGTGGGCACGACATTGGCTAGGTCATACAAACTGCATGCAATTACTTTGAATCAATATGAGAGGCAACAATGGATAGAACAATAAATGCTGCTACAAAGAAAACTGATATCATAATCAAGTTAAAAGTCACATAAAGTATTACATATTGATATATGTACAAGAATATGGTAATTATCAGATGCCACATGGTTGTCTAAAGCTATATAAAACATCCATTTATATATACATGTATTCATAAATACCTATTCTGAAATGCGGCATAGTTCTCTAAAAGCAAAATATCAGCATATTTAGGGTCTTGTGCTGAAATTTTCTCCAATGTCACAAACATCATCGTAACCTGTCCAGAAAGAATTTAAATTTAACCAATATAGCAAAATGCAGAAAATGGTTAACAAATATGACCTTTTTGGGGAAGGGGATGGGGTGCCTGAGAAATCAAATCTCTTAGAAAACTCAAACTCTTTCCAACCAGCCACTGACTTGAAGGGAATTTGATAGCTGAATGAGTATGTGGAAATTGGAATCTTATCACTTGTAATGGTACCAAACTAAGTGAAAGCTAACTAAAAAGAAACATAGTTAAAATGCGTATCTCTCTGTGGACAGAGGTCAATTTCTGATAACATGAAGTCTCCTGAATAGCAGCAGTAGAAAATGTGGCCTCATGCTGCGTGCCATCCTAATAACTTAGAAGGCAAGCATCAGCATTAGCCATTTGGGCCATGTCATTCAGAGAAACCATTAACTGTTGCAATGGTGGCAGTGATATATATACCAAGATTTAATCCACAAATGCACTTACAATTTAATGAAAAATGATACAGAAGAGAAATAACAGATGCTGCATCAGATTTAATGTGATTCACCAAGTCTTGCCTACATCCAAGGAGAAAGTAAAAATACTTTCTTCACCGCTAGAGTAAAATCCAAGTATGAGAATATCATTCATCGGATTGAAATATCCAAAACCCAATACTCTTACGCCTTTACAGACTCCAAAAGAACCCCTCTCAAGAGTTACAATCATAACAGACTAAGTTCTTTCTAGCACCTCTTCCCTATTTATAGGACTATATGATTCCTAGACAACCTCGGATTCCTTGACATAGAAGAATTCTCCAACTAGGACTCCTAGAGTTCCCCAAATAGGATTCGTGGACTTCTCTACTAAGTTGTGGACTCTGAAAGAGGCATATCCTCCTAGGTTACCCATGTGAGGTGGACACCTAATAACCTACTAGTTATGCAAGAGGTGAAATCCTAACATTAGCGTTATAACCTGTGTTCTATAGCATTATCTGTTATTTAAAAGAAGCCTCATTGTGTGCATTTAGCAAATCATGCTAGCTTTAAAGGAGCTGAATAGAGGTTTCTTCTTAAAATGGTTAGTGCAACATCATGTATAAAACTCATTAATAGCTGCAGGGAAAATCATATCACTCGTAAAGTAACTTAAGAATGTGACACAAATTAACCATACACCACCCCACACAATCACTTCTTAATTTGGCACTTTCATAAACAAATAGTACTAAATAATTGTTCTGCAGTTCTGTAAATTGGGTCAACCATTCCAAAATCATTTTATCATAGTGTTATGCAACTAAATTACAAATAATAATATCATGCCTAAGGGATCAGATTAGAGATTTGATTTGTTACAGAGGAACCTTTATATTACACCACATCTCTGAGAGTTACATGGCAGTTCCTCATGTAACCACTTTTAAATTTTGCTATGCATTAAATATACAACAGACATTTAGGTGTTATTAAATTTAAGAAATTAGTTTTATCTATTCACCTCCCCCTGTATGAACTTTATTGGGACTAACAGTTATGTTTTGAGTTGAAGGTCTATCTTGTGTTTACATTGCGAGTCATGTTTGTATTCCAAGAACTATAGCACTTCATATTCTCCTATAGCCAATAAGAGGGTTGCATCCCCTTTTGAGATTGTTCATTCAGAAATTGGGGGTCCATCCTTTAGTGTTTCTGATTCTGGCTTTTAATTATTGTATTACCTTTGTGGATGGTTTCCCTTGTATTGCTTGGCTTTATATTATGAAATCCAAATTTGAATTGTTTTCCATGTTTTGTGCTTTCTTTCTTGAGATTCATACACAATTTCATGTTCATATTCTTTGTAGTGACAATGCAAAAGAATTCTTTTAAGCCTTTTAATTCATATATGTTGCAAGAGGATATGATACATCGATCATCTTGTATTGTTACATCTCAACAAAATGGTGTGGCCAAAGGAAAAAATCACCACTTGATGGTTGTGGTTAGGGCTTTGCTATTCCAAAGGAAAGTCCTTGAAAATGTAGAGGCTAATGTGGTACATGTAGCTGCCCATTTGATTAGTCACATGCCATTGTGTCAAATGGTCAATGTCCTCATTCTATATTATTCCCTTCTCAATATTTACTCTCTCTTCCTCTTAAGGTGTTTAAGAGTACCTGTTTCATTCATGATGTAAGGCAACAAGTAACTAAGCTTCATCCTAAATCCTTGAAATGTGCATTCCTGGATTTCTCTTGTATTCATAAAGGGTGTAGATGTTTTTCTCATGAATTTAATTGACAATTCGCTTCTACTGATTTAACTCTCTTTAAGGATGTTCCTTCCAATGCATCTCAGTTATAATTTCCTATATGTGAATTTGAGGATGACTTCATTTTGCTTCTAGTAATTTAACTTTCTTTAATGATGTTCCTTCCTATGCATCTCAGTTATAATTTCCTATATGTGAATTTAAGGATGACTTCATTGTATACACTTTGAAAGTCTCCAAGTCTTTGAGCTCTGAAATCCCTACTTGCTTAAATATTCATCCTTCCATTACAAACTTACATTCTCAAAAACCAAGACTCGAGGACACTGCAACAGGTGTTGTAGATATATACTTTGGAAGCTCATTCTCCTTCAGCCTCTGTGTCAAATGATCCTCAATTTGATCTCATTTTTGCTACAAAGAAGGGTAAGTTTTCCTGTACATATTCTATTTCATCCTTTGTCTCTTGTGATACTTCGTCTTCTAGATCCAAATCTTTTGTTATTTTTCTTGATTTTATTTCCCTTCCTAAGTCTTTTAAGGATGCCCTAAATCATTCTAGCGAGAGGAATGATATAGAGGATGATATGATTGTTCTTGAGCACAATAAGATGTTGGATCTTGATAATTTGCCTAATGGAATTCATACCATTGGCTATAGTTTGGTATATACTGTGAAAATGAATGCTAATGGTTTTATTCCTTGCCTAAAGGCTCACCTAGTAGCTGAGGGTCATGCACAAACTTATAATATAAAGAACACTGAAACTTTTGCAGCCAAAATATCCTTTGTTAGGCCCTCTATTTCCTTAGCTGCAAATAATAACTAGCCTCTATATCAATTTGATGTAAACAATGTTTTTCTTCGTGGAAAATTGCAAGAAAATACGTACATGGAGCAACTTAAGGGAAGTATAGGAAAGTGTAGAAGTTGAAGAAATTTTTGTACGGATTGAAAACAATATTTAAGGGCATGGTTTCGGAGGTTTCATGAGGCTGGGACAGAATGTAGGTTACAGAGCTGTAATGGCACTGTCTTCTTTAAACAGTCTACTAATGGATGAATGCTATTGGTTGCATAGGTAGATGATATCATTGTTACAAGTACTAATGCAAAAAGTCTTGTTGATCTGGAATCATTTCTTCAAATCAGGTTTTAGACTAAAGACTTGGGGAGCTCAAATACTTTCTTTGCATTGAGCTGAAGGGTTCAAAGAAAGGCATATTTCTGTCAGTGGAAGTATGTAGTTGACTTGCTGGATGAGACAGGTTGAAGTGTCGTTGCATAATCTAGTGTTGAAGTTGCATATTGAGCTATTGGCTCAAAATACATGTTAATTGGTGTGGATTCATGTGTGAGATTGGATTTGCAAATCCTCTCCCTATGAGTTTTATGGAGGGATAATTGGGCTGCAATACATTTCTCATCTAATCTTTAATTCCATGAGAGAACAAAATATATTGAAATGAATTGTTGTTTTGTTCTTGAGAAGATATAACAGAAACTTATTTCTACTTTGGAGAAATGCAGGAGAGCAGCTTGCAGATTTGTTTAAAAAAGCACTTATTAGAGTGAGAACTGAGTTTATAATTAACTATTTAACTATCTGGGCATGCTTAATATTTATGTCTCAACTTGAGGGGGAGTGTTAAATATTAGACTAGATGCTAATTTGTAATTATCTGTATAGAGGGACCTTCATGTAATTAGTTTCTACTACTTGTTAATAAATAAGCAATTAGCCTAATCATGCATTAGGTTTTATGCAACATCTTTGAGAGTTACACTTTAGAATGAGTACTTACAAGTTTAGTATATGCCTGATCAACCAAATCCCTTGATTGTCCCTGGATGTACTGTTCCATGCGAGTTGCAAGAGCTGCAAATCTAAGAGGAAGTATAGAAAAGACAAATAAAACGATCTATAACCAAGACTGAAAACTAGAAGGCATAGCAAAATACCATGATGAAACACCATGAAAACAAAGCTTAATGCAGCTTTTGCATGAAAGAATACAACAATATACTATTATTAAAACCCTTTCTTTTATCTGATCTTGTTGGGTTGATAGAAAAGAAATAAAAGGATGTACACAAAAAATGACAAATTTTTCCCTTCAGCGAAGCAATGGGTCTTGGCATTCAGTTCAAAAGGTTCTTTAAAATTGTGGGAACTGGGCCAACAAGAAACAAATTTCAGAAAAGTAATACAGATTCCAAGATTTGTTTCTTCTCCTCTCTCTTTTTTCTTTTTTGGTCCTGGGCTGGGGAGTTAAAAAATTCCTCTTTACCACCGAAGATCTTGGGCCCAATAAAAGAGAGATTTAGGGTCATTTGATATGGATAAGATTCATATAATTGAGAAAAGACTTGGTTGAGAGAGAGACAGAGAGAGAGTATGGACATGTAAGCAATTTTCTTCTTTTTTGTTTTTGGGTGAGTTCTTGGAGGTAAATGCTTGGAATTAAATGAAATTTAGTAAGTCATTAGAAAATCTCCCCCAGATAGTATATGGCAGAATGAGTAGCTTATATGCATAGCCAAATGGAGCCTTGCACTGATTTTAAAATTTTGGGCACAAATTACACAAAAGAAAACAAAAAGGAAGCCACAAGCTCAGTCACGTGTCTCTAGCCAAAATTGGGTCCTTTCTTCCCTTCACTTCTTCCCTCACCAAGCACAGCATAAGTTAATGATGTTACACGACCGAAATTTGTGATGTTGGACCAAAATAATTTTATGCATAAATTGTCTGACAACATAAAACAAGTGACTCGTGTATAAAAATGATAAACCATTAACTAGCAAAAGATATAAAAAAAACTTAAAATGTTGAAAAGCAAGTCTTATTGGAGTTGAAGGAGCCCTTAAATTAAGCCACAAACTACCTTTTTGAGGTTCACCAAATATATACATTTATATACATACATATACATCTGAAAGCTGGTTAGTTGAAAAATACAAAACCTCAAATCAAGTAAACTTCATGCTTTCAACCATCAAAGGAAAAGGAAGTACAGAAACCATCCTGATTCTATTTTGTCCTTACTAATTCCATCTAATTTTCAAAGTAATATCACAGCAATCCTCCAAGAAGCATAAACACTCTTCCTATTTATTAAAAGAATGTAAACTGAATGTGCACTATTCAAACATTATTTGTTAGAGAGCTAGCTCAGTTTTCAGAAAACCAAGCATTCCGGTTCCATTAAACTTCATATTTCCCATTTCTTTACCAAATAGTGTCATAAATATAACCCATCAGGTTGCAGGCTACATGAACTTCCCCTATGAATGAATTAACAAAACATTGCCTATAACTTCTTGAATGACATTCAAGGTGTTAAACTGTTAATTACCATCTCATCTAAAAGCTTACTAACCAACAAAATTCTGCACAATGAGTTTTTCAAATTGTTTAGCCTAGAAATCATCCATCAAATGTATTCAATGTAGTTGACTTCAACAAAGCAAGCTTCGACTTGTTTTAACATTCAAGCTTGGAGAATCATGGTTAGTGCAACCATTTATTCTTTACACACTCCCACGCTCATGGACAGGCTTTTTCAATCATGAGGGGTCAACACGTAAAATATTTAATAATCTGACGGTGAGATTTGTACACAACTTTTTGACTAGTCTCCTTACCTTGTTATCTTGACCACCTTTTCTGGAACAATTGTAAACCCCCAAGGCATCCAATCCCTTGACCACCATCTTGTCTAAGTTCAAACTTGTAAGGGTAATATAATAATTGGTTCCTAGACATTTTTTTTTATGGATTGATAACACAAAAATAAGAATTAAAAAAAAAAAAAACCTTGTTTCATAAAACAAATTTTGTATAATCTTCTCCAATATACAGCTGATTATTTTGACATATTAGTTAATTTTCTTTTTTTTTTTTCTACAAGCTATAAACAGTCATTTTTCATTCTATTCTTTTTAATTATCCGCACTTTCCCAGTGCAGCAGACCAACCTGGGGAAGGTCTCAGATTTTCAATCACCTCATCTCATGAGAGAATTGCAAGTAGTTGAACTATAAATCTGGTATCAAGTTCACCTTGGTATGTATGGTACAACACCCAGCTGGCGGACATTTCGCTCATATCTTTCAATCTGGTGACAAGCTTCTTCAACAAACTGCCAAACAAGCAAATGAAACCGGATGAACTTGATCACTTAAGAATGAAATATCCATAACAACTCAGCCTCAAAGCACGCAACTCACACGGCTAAACTGCATAGAAATTCTAGATTCAAGGTCATCAAGCAGGACTCGCACAAATCCTGCTGCATCTGCTTTCTGGCCAGAAATGTAGCGTTCTGTTGTCCCATGCATAGATATGCAGCGCAAAGGATCAATCTTGCTTGCCCAGTCCACCACAGCATAAAAGTCTTCCTGCAGATTCATGAAAATATAAATTTTCTGGAGTGTTCTAAAGTGACTGAATTTCACTTAGTAAACAGCCTACTGTCCTTGATGTAAGTAACAACAGACGAACTTAAGAAACCACCTAGTAACAAGATCAGAATATCCACACTGATGAACGATATTTTATGAAACCCGGCCTGAAATGAATCTCACTATGACACCCTTCTATCTTTACAAAAGGTTGTCCTCCACAAAGTGATGGAAATGGGAGTATTAAACTATTTCTACCAAATAATAGATTCTCTTTTGGTAATCCTTATAAGATTATCTATATTTAGTAACACCTTCAAAATTATAGATGCTTCTCAATCTGATGAATATTGATTATTCAAACTACTTTCTTCTAGTGGGAATAATGAAACGAAACAAATAAATATTAAAACATTACTTGTATTCCATCGAGCAATTCCTGAAGTGATTCATTTAGCTCCTTCAGCTCCGGAGAATTTGAAAAACTTCTCCCTACAATATTTGACAACCAGTGCTAAACAAACTTTAACAGGGTTGAACACCAAGAAAACTTTTCATACAAGGATTACCAGTTTTTCTTTCATGATCATCAATGTCTAATATTCCCAGATTATCATCATTGTTGGCATCATTATGGCAATTAGCTTTGTCATCGCTGGTGGCACCTTCTGATGGTTCAAGTGAAGGAGCTTCAAAGCACATGAAATGTGCGAAAAAGGAACTCTACAGTTTGAGCAATGACAACATTTACGTTTAAAGACACAGCAAGGAAAATGAAATATCTTTTAGGTATTAGAAAATGAGTTCAGAATTATGATTGCAACCTCATCCACAAGGAGTGGGATAAAAATAGTAAGCATTTTGGCATATGCTTCTGAAGCTGCTGAAGTGTCTGCATTGTTTGCAATTTGGCTGGTAGAACCTTCAAGCCATGTAATTGTACTTTTTGTAACTTTGGTACTAGCACGAAGTTCATTTGAAAATTCCCGAGCCTGTAGGCGATTATGCTTATTTTCAAATACCATACTTTTGAAATTGGCAAGTTCCTTAGTTGTTAATGCAATCAGCATCAGAAAATCTCCTAATGATTAATTAACTGAACAAAGTTGTTTTCATATTTACTGTAGCCTAGGATACAGACAAACAGACAAGCAGTTCATGCTGGACATGACAAGGCATGCAATGTTTGTTGTTTTTTTTCTGGTTCCTTTTTTTTCTTTATGTTATAAATGACATGAAAAAGACATGGAAAACTACATCCTTTATTCATGATATGCATTAATATTAATTAAAATAAGTTAGGTAACTCATAAATTGCATCACATTTTGTTACATGTAGCCGGCCCCATGTAGTTGAGAAAAAAGTTCATTGGAATCACATTGAGTTTGATATGACATAAAATAATATATTAGTTTATTTTTTCTAATTATATTCATAGAAACTTGTAAAAAATAAAGACAACAAGGAAATTGTAGAAGAGCAACTGACTAGTTAAAAACACTAAAGCACTCTCTACTATTGGATTTTGGAAACTAGGACAAATCATACCCTTTCCCAAAAAAAAAAAAAATAATAATTTGGTAATTGGCATATTGGCAGCTCAGTAAAAGTTAAAGAACTTATGTAGACCCTGCCTTGTTCCGAGAATGTTCAATTTTCCAAGACATTTGGTTTTTTTCTTGGAGTCTACAAGGGAAAAATTTTAAATAAAGAACCAGACATCTGAATGTGTCTCTGGTACAAGTCCAAGCATGTTTCATGGACATATAATGCTCTTTTTCTCTCTTCCTACTAGGGGAAAGCATGGTTCAGTTTGGTTCAGTTCAATTTGGTTAAGAGACAATCCTGGACCCTATCAAGATGGTGTTAGTTACAAGATCTTAGAACCATGACTGAACTGATTCCACCCTAGCATTGAATTGAATCAAACCACACCAAAATGGATGATTATGGTTTTTTGCAGGGTTGAAACTAATTTTTTTAATAAACAAAATTGTTTGATTATTTTCTATTTTTACTAAAAACCAACATGGACATTGCTGGTTTAGTTCCAAGATTGAAACTAATTTTATTTTTAAAAAAATGTTTGATTATGTTATTTATTTACTAACTTTCATTATTTAATTGAGTTCCATCATATAAAAGGAATAAACACTATAAATTTATATATTTATGTTTGCTGTTGTTGAACAATGCAAAATAGAATCTGATGCAGAGGACCACAGCCATATGTGCACACAGAGATGAGACACACCTGCTTATATTCTTTTTAACAAACTTGTACAAAATATGTTATTTTCTTATTATATATTTTATTGTGTATAGGGTTTTCTTCTCCTTTGTAATACATATAGGAATGTTCTGTCGGCTATCATTTGTGGAAGATTCTGATGATGAATGTAATGCTACTCTAAGCCCTACTTTTCAGCTCTGTAATTCCTTCCTTTCTCCTCTGTTTCTTCCCTGTTTCTTCTCTATTTCTATCAGTTATTTACAAAAAGGACATAAAAATGTAAAATGCTTAACCAGGTGGAGCAGAAGTCTTATCTAACTAGTCTGGAACAGTACGTCATTTCTTTCTTGTGGTTCCCATGTCGGGATCATGAACCAAACCAAATGGAACTGGTCCCAAAAACTTTGGAACCTAAACCTATGCACGTGTAATGGAACCATCCATCAATCTAACCTCTAAAAAAATTTTCCTTCCAGGTTTACCGACCCCTACTTTCTACTGAAGTATACAATCATTTTTTCCTTCTAGTTCAAATTTGACAAGGTTAATTAACTAGAAGACTAATTCAGGAAACCGATAATTTACAGGCTAAAAAAAACAGAAATGGTTAATATAAAACTTTTGGTTAATCCCAACATAAGATAAATTAGACATCTTGATATCTAACCACTTAAATGTAAGCAACCTATGTGCATGAGAATGCTAACCAACCTAACACCAAATCTAAGCTTAAACTTGGTATCTGGACATAATTAACATTGTCAGTCATAACCCATAACTTGCACCAAATATGAAAAGATTAGTGATATCCAAACAGAGTAACCATACAAAATTGCCATGCAGAATAATCTATTTTCCTGGTTTCTTCACTCAAAAAATATGAAATTGTGATTAGAAGAGAGCCAGTGCCATAACATTCTAGACAGAAATGCTATATGAAGGTTCTTCTGGTTTGAAATTTCCAATTAAGAAACAGAAAAGGATCTTTCAAATAAGTAATAGAGGAAGACTAATAAAGGGATATATTTCTGAAAATTATTGGCATATACGCTGATGGAACTGCATGAACTTGGTGCTTAGCAGAGAAAGTTAAATGGAAGAGGGAAAATTCAATTCTACACGTAAGTGTAAGATTTCCAATTGAGAATGCCACGTTACCCAAAAAAGAGAAAAAATAACAAAGAAGTATGGGCATCAAATATGAGGTTTACAGAATGAAGTCTATGCAGTGGATTCTAGCTTTGTAATCAGTTTCAAATATGTTCAAGTACAGTGAATTATAGTAAAAGTAAAAAATAACTTATATGGAGCCAAAGGACCAAACAAAGGACCAGTAGAATCCACATCAAATGGTTGGTATACTTCTGTGCATCTTTCTGCCCAAGCATGCATATATGCAGACAAAAGGGGTTGCTATTTACTGGCCTACTAAGTCAACTGAACTCCACAACCCCACAAACCTATTATCAGTTCAATTGTTGGATCGGCTTTCTAACCCTGGCTTGTGGTCGTGCAACCAACTTAAGAAAGCTATTTGAGGCAGCACCCACAATTTGAAAATTGATTTATGCTCACCTGTTATATTTATAGTGACAGCTATCTACTAATTCAGGAGAGCTAAAAGATACTCAATGTGATTGGCGTCCCACCGCAAGCATGTGATTGTGGGAGCATTTAGGAATATCTCTAGAGTAAACTTAGATGTAGTCAGGGTTTAAATAACTCAAATGGTTGATGATAAATTAACTTTTAAAGAACATACAGTTGTGTCTCAACTCAATTTCAGTTCAAGTGATCAGACTAACACTGACCTGAGTCCAATTTGTGGATAAAGAATTTTACTACTTATCACATCTGCATTTGCCTAAGGTCTGAATGTTAAAGCTTAGCTGTCCTGACAAACACAAGCACTAACAACCAAAGTGCTCCTCCCCAGATAAATTAAATTATGATAGTAGATCAATTCATTCCTGAATCAAACAAGTGCATCCTCTTGAATCTTGATTCAACTGTAGCTTCAAAAGGAAGCATGTATCAAATAAATGAAAATTAATTTTAAGAATGGGCGATGTTAGGAAGAGTTTGAGACATGCATGGTTAACTTCTTGAATGCCAAGGATATCCCAAACCCTAAAAAACCAACATTTAAAATTAAAAATTTATAATGGTTCTATTTAAGTATAGGTTTTAAGCAACATCTTTAGCTTTAGCTTTTCGTAAAGAAAAATTTTCCAATTATTAGTTAACATACTGGCATTATTTCATACCAACAAGCTAAAGCCAAAGCCAAAGCCAGAAGAGTGGAATTGAGAACATTGCCAAATGGAGCAAATATATCATGGGAAGTGTTAATACAATGCTAATAGAATGGAATATGTAATAGAAGTACTGGTGACAAAGGATGCAAGAAAACCTAACATAAGTTCATTCTTTCAGACCTCACGGCGTAGAAGCAAATTAAGGGAGCCACAGTAAGCCTTTCTCAATGGGCTCAAGCTGGTCTTGTCAAGATTCTGAAAAAGAGAAGGCAGGGGCATTATGAAAAACAAAAAATAAACAATGACATGGACAACGGAAACTATTGAAATTTAATGGACCCTGTGTAATATGACCTTCAAGTGTTGCAAAAGACGAGCATATGTCCTGCATTTGTACCGAAGATCAGAATGATCAGGCCTCTTCAATTGTCCCCGCTGTTTAATCCAATGGCCAAAACTTAGATTCCAGAACCAGAAATTGGCTAATTTTCAAGAATAAAGTAGCATCCTTACAATACCTGAGAGAAATAATTTTTGTCATTTAGCATGTAATCCACCAAACCAACGAAGTAGTTTCTCAGGAACTCAGATGCTCTCCTAGCAAAAGCAGTTTTTAATATTCCAAGTTCACCCCGCTTTTCTTTAACCTGTCGAAGTTTTAATATGTCACCTTTAGAAGGAGATGATATCTTAATGCTATTATCCACCCTAGGTAACCTGCTTTGAAAGAAAAATTAATTCTCATAAATAGTTATAAAATTTCAAGAAGAAGATGAGGATCTCTTCAATTTGATCTTCTCAGGTTCACACCATATATCCTGAATAGAGGGATAAGAAGTTCCTTATCCGAGAGATAAAAAGAACAAAAATAACAGGAGACTGTAAATATGAGTTGGCTGTGGAATAACATTAAGATGAACAGGTAGTTTGGCAGCTGATCACCACTATGATCACAAATTGACCATGCTGTTTGTCATTTGTTGATGCACAAACAAGAAGGGGGAGATGAAATGCTACATTCATGCCCCTTTTAAAAAGTTATGTTTTCAGATTCAAATCCAAGAATCAATTGTAAAATTCAGAGTCAGCAGTCAACAGTCAACAGTCAGCATATGTACCAACTTGCAAGCATCATACAAGTACAATTAGAGACAACAAGTCTCAAAATTACATGAGACATTAAAACAGGAGGTAAGAAAGAAATTTTCATTAAACAAGAAATTTAGAGAATTATGACAAATCAAACAAAAACACACAATGTCACTTCCTGACATGGACCACAAAAGCCTAGATTATCTTTACTCTGACAGACTGTGCAGACTAACTGTAATTATGCAAACAAATGGGCTCAGGGCTATCCAAAATTAAAAGTCCAGCAACCACTTGCCCCAGCTGATTTTCCTAATGGTTTCTGATGATATTTTACCATTTTCAAGTCTCCATAGTTTGCTATGCAAGAGCAAAACTGCCTGTACTGCTTGGGGCTGGCACATTCAAGCCATTGGTTGAGATGCTAAACAAATATGCACCAGAATTAACATGACATGAGTAGGTGGGTATGTAATATATTACCATTTCACCGAGGAAGAGGGCATACATGTTAATGCATTTGAACAACAAAGAGATGCCATAGGTAATAGTAAATGCATATTTATGGTTAGCATGGAAGATATATATTATTGTACATGAAGTTGTTCGATAATATATATTTTAATTTTAACACACACATGAACTGTGGCTTAGTTATCTTACCTTAAACAGGTGAATATATGGTTGACATGCAAGAAATATACATCATGGCATGCATGCACATTTTCATGAATATTATTAGACATGGTGAAGTTGGAAAATTAAATAACATTGAAAATATATATATGGGACTTACAGCTCGAATATTTGCATAACAGGGATCCACATTCATTCCTTCAAAACCATGTAAAGCTCCAGTTAACCACTCACATGCTTCAATATTTAGAAACATGTGAGTCTCACCAAATGAACCTTCTGTGAGACAGTCTACATACTATACCAAACAAGTACATGGTTAAAGGGCAAAAATATTTAAGAAGTTAACCAAACAGAGACCCTTTTATTAAATTTCAACAACCAAATTGCTCCATGGGCACCTTCTCAGGCACGCTTAATCTTTTGAGAAGCTTATCGAGCTCATCCATTAATGCTCTGTTATTTACTGTCTGTATTTCCAGCTTGTTGTTGCGCATCTCTATCTGAAAATCAGAAGATTAAACATAAGTCAAAACAAGTTCAGCTGACAACCTGCCAACTCCAGAATTGCAGACTTCTGTTGCATACTCAGGATTGGACACTTGTTTGTCCACTATGGCAGTGTAACATGTGTGCAGATTTTTGGACAATGTTGGCTCTACTTAGCATCCAGAATTTGTATTTTCCAACTCATTTGTTGTCAGGTTGCTGTTGGTCTTACTAAGTCAGATTGTGTTGGGACTACTTGTTCTAGGTCTTTGGTCTGATCTTTTCCATTCAGGTGTATCCAAGAAGAAGAAAAAGAGGAAGAAGACATACTATGGGCCAATAAAAGAATAAATCAAGCACATAGAGTGAAACAATCATTGCCACGGTAAAAGCAAATATTTTCTAAGATTGAGTAGAAAACCACATGAAGAATGAGGAGAACAGATAAAGGCTTTATGGAATTGAATATTTTGTATTTGTATACACTTATTGTCAATTAATATACACTTTTAAGTTTCATATACTTCTGCAGTATATATGGATTACAGTAAGCTGCAACTAGAAAGACAGGGCCAATGAGAATGTGGCCAAAACACTTCTTATAGAATTATAATTAGACATCTTACCGACTCAATGTCTTCTCTCATGTGTCTAAGTTTTACATTAAACATTCCTAACCATTCATCCAAATCATCAACACAATTTGTGGCTATCTCAAGCCCCTGCAACACCTGCAAGAACCCATGATCAAATATTAATATACAAACTGTAGTACATAGCTATCATCTGGGGGGAAATTACAGAAAACAACAATAATGAGGAGAATTTAATCTAACAATTAAGTTTCAAATCTTTTCCACTTAAAACCCCAGGCCAATGTTGATAAAGTTCGTAGATCTTAAGCATCCTAATCAAAAAAGGTGAAATAAGGCATATGCTAGAAGTATTTTTAATAAAAAATGGAATGACATGATCCTGTCAATCCCAATCAGTAAATATGAAATCACAGAAAAGGGATGCTGTTTCTTGTCCAAGTCTGGTGATTTTTCAGTTAAACAAGCCTCTGTAGTGGCAAAGCAGCTAGAGGAAATAAAGAAAAATGAGAGAACAGAAGAATTGCACTCAAGGGAATCTATGAAAAGTTCTTGAGAATCTCTTTGGGAATATAAGCTTCCAGAGAGACTGAAGGTTTTTATCTGAAAAGCGCATAATGCTCTGCAAACTAGATCAAAACTTGCAGACAGGAAAGTTGTATCAGATTCAGTATGCATTTATTGTTGTCTTAAATGTGAATTTGAGGAACATTTGTTTTTTAGGTGCCCAAATGCTATCAAAATTTTGATGCTCTCCTTTGCAGATTAAACCTGAACTGTTACTAGAAGTCAAATCTTTTCATGAATGGTGACACCAAATGGAGGAGAGAGCAAAATCCAGGAATAATAGCAGCAGAAGTTACGGGTGTGGGAGCCTGTTGCTTATTTCTGGGAGTATTAGAGGCCCCATTAAAAAAAAAAAGAAAAAGAAAAAAGAAGAAGAAGAAGATTGGTGGAATATTGAAAAGCAGAAAGATTAGAATGGAAGCTGGCTGCAGAAACATGATAACTGGTAGCCCCCTGATTTTTGTGTGTTTAACGTTACACTTTTGCAGGTTTTAAGCTTGCCACTGATTGTAGTTTAGGAGTGGTGGCAAGAGATAGAAATGGTTGTATTCTGGGTGTATCAATAATGAAGATGAATAGGGCTCTATCAAATTGCAGTCAGAGAAGGTCTTCTGCTGGCTAAAAGCATGCAGATGAAGAGAGTAATTGTGTTGAATCTGATGCAAAGATGGTGACTGACATGCTGCAAGGAAAAAGGAAAGCTCAATAGAGTTGGAAGTTCTAATCCAGCAATTGCTTGCTGTTAAGGAAAAAATTGATTGTTTAGAGTTTATTTTTTGTAACAGATGCTATAATAGAGCTGCATACCATGTGTCACCAAAAGCTCTCTTGGAGGGAATTGAGGGTTGTTATAGGGATTGCAATTCCCCGTAGTGCAATTCAATTACCCTTTATGTGTTGAAATGAATTTTCTCATTTGGCCCAAACAAATGCTGCACAGAAGCTAGAAGATAGCAAATCCTATGGGCCTTGGAGTAAAGCTGATTGCCAGGATGGTCCTATCCTCTAGAGAATTTTAATTAATAACTATTCCCTGACTCCAAAGGGTTGAGCTGTTAGATGATATGGTGGTTAACAATTTAATATGGTATCACAACAGGCAAAGAGTCATGTTGCAAATCTTTTTGCTAGGTTTCAACATGGTGATCCATTTGTGATTAAAAGGTGTGCCACAGACGAGGTGGCTTGTTAATAGACACATTATTAAGATACCAATCTCTCCAGCAGCTTGAGTTGTTAGAAGAGATGTTTGTCAACAATTTGACCTAATCATACTTCATAGAGGCTTCACTAGGATGATACTTGGATGAGAAAGACAATTCTGGAGGCTGGCTTTTCTTTTCCATTGTTTTGTTGTTACATTGTACCACCCCCCCACCCACCAAATATATATATATATATAACAGTAATAGCACCAAAAAGAAAAAAGGAAAAAAAGGAGGTATGCAGTACCTGGTAAAGAATGGTGAATAAAATATGTTAGAGATGTTGAGCTTATGTATAACACCACAACCCATTCATTTGAGGCCACATAGCTCAACAAGTATGGATAAAATAAATTAATATATATATATATATTTATGTATATGTACTTATTGATGAGGAAAAACCTTTTTCAGGCACTTAAAACTGGAAGAAAGGACTATGAAAAAAATGAATACAAGATGCATAATAAGTTTTTATAAAACATAAGAGTTTTCATAAAAACATCATCCACAAGGGTTACCTCATCAATCAAAGGTTCAGTTTCCAAAATGGCATGCACATTTGCGGCTTCCAAGGCCTGGAGTTCTCGCTTCAACCGCTCTGACAATGCTTCTGCCTCACCAATACCCATTAGATATCTGGAAACAATGATGTACTCAAACTCCAGAAATATATGAAGGTCACAAAGTGAATGATTGGAAAATTTGGCTTTTATCTGTCATTGAGCAAGTCAGCAAATCATGAAAACCAATATGATGGGTCAGGAATGGCATGAAGTACCACACCACAAACTACATCAAATTAATTAGAAGAATGCAATCATTTTGAAAAACATAAAAACATTGACCAAACCTCACAACGCACCTTGGCAGTTAGAGAAAAATAAAAACATAAAATATGAAACTGAGAAAGAAAAAGATGAAAAAAGGTATCCATATATATAAGCTTGAAGAAGAGAATTTCTTATATCATTGACATAAGAAAGAATAAAACAATGGAATTTAGGCATTGGAGCGTATAAGAGATAGTTTAAATTAAAATGGGTTTGTTTACCATTTGCTGCTGCAAAAGAAAGGGTAGAAAAACGTAAGGATAAATTTAGAGGTAATAAGGAAAATTCCTTGTAATTAATATGAGAAAAAGTGATTTAACCATATTAATAGCTCTTATTTCCATGACTTAAACATGTGCTCTTTCCACTTCATCCCATATTTTCTACTTTTTCTAAGTAAATGTTGCAAAAGTTTTCTTAGTTCTTTCTCTAAAAGGCTAAAAAGAACTTACAGAGTTGAAGAGAAAACATGTCCTCTTTCTCTTCCCTTTGTTTCTTAATTTCTTTAATTTGAAATCCCTCTTTCTTTTCCCTCTATCTCCCATATTTTTATCATAATTTTCATATCAATAGTAAAATATTTTTTGTTTTATTTTTTTCTATCTAAGACTTCATTGCAGCTCATGTGATGTCATGGTTTAACCAACTTTGAGACATGGGCAGCATCCAATTTCATGCTTTTCTTATTCACCTCAATTCACATTATCAAAAATAGAAAAATTCCTTGTGATTTTGTAGTTACTTAATGGTCATTTCACATGGATCTGGAAAGTAACATCATGAAGTTAGGAAAGAGGAAACCAAATCATTCAAGTTGATCCGAAATACAGTTAATAGTGTTTAGTTCTAAGCAGTTGTATCATACTAAGCTAAGCTCATCATGCAGCGATTTTATCTTTCTTCAGGATTTGGCCTGAATTGTTTGGAAGATTAGCATCCATTACACAAGCCTGATGAGAGATTTCTGGTTTTTCCCAATCAAGTATACTTCCTGTGTGGACAGGCTAAACACTTGGGCAATTTTAAGTTCACTTTTTTTTTATAGCTATAAAAATAAATAAATTGCAGGATATCAGGGCTGGTAATTATGTTTTAGTATCCTGCTTCCAAAAACTCCACACCAAGGAACCTGGCCTCAACATATCTGATTTCTAAACTATCAAATGCATTTTACTTCTTTGTCCCCCTCAACTCTTTCTCTTGCACTATATGCTATGGTAAGATCTCAAGTTAACCACCAGAGTATGAGAATGGCAATACATGTAAGAATGGATATTGCCAGCACTTATGCTTATATGCCTTCATATGCATACTATTGGTGCAGCTAGCTATCTGAAAGGCAACATTTTCTTACCTGGATATCACGAAAGGAAAGAGAAACATCTGTGAATTTCTGAAGTTTGGTTTGTTGAAATGGATACATATTAAAGCAGGAACCAGTTAAAAGTTTGATTTCTTGACAACATAATAACTTTTTTTATAAAAAAGAAAGGGATAACGTTAATTTCCCATTAAAGTTTTATTTAATATGTTCCTACTTTATTTTAATCCAAAAGGAAATTCCTTTTAATAATGCAATTTATGTAAGTGCAACTTCTGTTATATCAGTTATGGTGAGATTAAAATAGAGAAATCTAACTAAAAAAATGTCATCTTTATGCAAATTTTCACCCAAAAAATTACTCAAACCAAATATCTGGAAAATTTATGTTCTTATTTTCCTTTTAACCACTTCGTTCCCTTTTCTTTCTTCCATCCTAGCCAAACAGAGTATAACTATACAAATATACATGTCCAACTTCAAACATGGAAATGAATACATACGTGCCTAATAGAGCCTCCATGTCCTCCTCCTCAACTTGAGATACAAGATCATTTTCAACAGTCACTTTCAAGTCAATCTCCGTCTCAGTAGCTGCAGCAGGTCCACTTTGAAGATTCCCTTATTAGGGACTGCGGTTGTGTTACTCTACATGAATCACGTCAGCAAATAACAGAAGAAATAGTGGTAGTGTAGTTAACATAGGAAAATGAATTGAAGATTAAAAATGAGAAACTGAAATTAGAAATTAAAAAATAAAAGTAGTCTCTCCAGTATAAAGCACCTCAAGATGATAAAGAAGATAGAAATGTGAATCAGAAAGTCAGGAGAGCCTATGGATGGATTACTGCTAAGATGATAATACAGGAGGTATATTCTGTAGAAGTTATAAAAGTTTCATGAGAAAACTGTCAAAGGGCTGTGCTTCTAAGCCATCAGGCTCACACATGATCAAAATATAACTTATCTAATATAGATCTTCTCAATAAAAGAAAATATTTCAGTTATCAATGTAGACAACCAAGGAATTAGGATATTCACCTTAGCCCAAAGAGCCATTTCCACAACATCCAGACCAACCACTTTGGGAAGACGACCCAAATGGTCCTTGCAAATGTTTAATATACACATTAGAAGACGATTCCTACAGCCCCAGAAATGTAAAAATAAAATTTTAAAAATTACTTAAGTAACAGTGGCCAACTCATTTAGTACAAACAACATGCTCACATGCATATATAAATGCACAAGAGGATGTCAAGATATCACAAGTATGCCAAAACCCTGGAACATTTACCTGTCATCAACATTGCGCGTGGTCCATTGAGGAGGGGCCACACTCTGACTTCTAAGGCTATCAAATCCCTAAAAAAAAGGGAAAAAAAAGAAAAGAAAAGAAAAGAGCATTTAAAGGGGGAAAAAGAGAATGAGATACCAAAGAAATTAATTAAACATTTCCAGAAATGTAAAAATATATAAATACATAAAATGATATAAATACATGTCTAATTGATGCCATCCTATAACTGTATAAGGTTTAAACAATCACCACTTGCAAAGCTTTCATATGGTTGTTCATGTGAATAAACATTACCAGAATAAATGTACATCCACTGGGGTCATTAGTAACAAGCTCCATCTTTGAAAGATGCTTCAGCTTGTATAATTTTGCAGGCTGTAGGAGGAAAGAAATTCAAGAAAATAACAGCTATTAAACTTGGTTCTTAAGCAAGACCAGGAATTGGAATTTAATCTCAAAAACTTTAGAAATTCTGCAGTGTTTCCATCCACAGACATGTACACAAGTGTGTATAAAGAAATGGAAAGCAGGATTGGAAGAAGAACCAGAAGTTCCACTCTAACCCAAGTACATGAGCATGCCTCTCCTATAGTATCAGACCTCACCTCACTTGTTCCCCATAGGTGATTGGTCCTTCCGGAGACCCTCCCTCTCCCAAAAAGAGAAAGGAAAAATAAAATACAACAGCAAAAACAACAAACAATATAGTTAAAAATATAAACAATTATAAGGAATGACCTCGATAACTCCTCCACTTGAGTACTTTAAGACACGGAGAAAAGCTTTAATCCGCTGAACTTTTGCTTTAGCTGTATAAACACAAAACAGGTGCCCAAAACAATGGTGAGAACAAAGTAGTCAAGGAATTGTTATTTATTGTGGTAAATCTCTGGTGGTGTTTGACTTATCCATTTAGTTTTCTCCACATTCCATTATAAATGGCTGAGTTAGATTATAAGAACAACAAATAACGATGGAAATAAATAAACATAAATTACCAACCAAGCAAGTAAATTTCCTTTCATGAGTAATGATCTAGAAAACATGGAAACTGTGTAAAAGCATGCCAAGACACCATATTGTGTATATTCTTCTGTTATTAATTTATTTATGCTTGGAAAGTCTGGGTGCAAAGATATATATACTTGTGCAAGAAGCATGCCTTCGGAACATCGGTTAAAGGTCGTATAATTGCAACCTGAAGTTCATCTGTTGAAACCATGAAGTAGACTCTCCATGTGCACTAGCAATACTATGTACATTCCCTTTCCCAAATCCTAGAGTGGCAGAAACACTATGCATCCTTAAGTGACTGTGCATAATCCGTAGATGAAATAACTTGCCATTTTGTGTTAATATTTTTTTTATCATCTTTTGTGACTAGTAGTTTCACAGTTTTAAATATAATTTCTTTTTTTTGTTTTTTTAGTAAAGATAAAAAATACGTAAGTTTTCCCAATCACCATCTACGCTACAAGTATAGACACAGACACCACCAACACTCAAACCTAGTGACTTCGAAAAAAATTAAAATAGGAACATGGCAAAGAAACATAAAAATTATATATATATATATGTATATATAATTCATTATGCTTACAAGCTGAACATTTATGAAGCAATATATTTCATTTCTTTAATAATTGGATATGTATCATATTTATTTGCAAGTTCAATTTGTTCTTGAAATATTTAATATCAGATATCTTATTTGAAGTAAAGACACCTTGTCATTGTGTTTAGATATGCATCTCTATTTTACAACACGTGTATCCTGAAACTAACAAATAAAAGAGAAATTATATACACCATGCAGTATGTCCAGTATGTTGTTGTAGCATGTCCTTGAATGGGCACAGATGTGTCCTACAAAATAGGGTGTCTGTGCTTCCTCAACTCTTTGTTTCAAATTTTTTCATGATCATGTCAAATACCATGCTCCTTTCATGTTTACTGGGCGAAAACGAGACCCTGCATTCTTAGAGCTTTACTAGTCCTACAATTTTTCTCACCTTAATTAAAGTCAACCCAGCAAAATATTGTCCCAACTATATGGAACTTGTACGAATATGCATATAGATAGATTAGGAATACACAGCAGAAATGTATTGCATAGAAATATTCTCATTAATTTCTTTTTATTTCCTTTCTTTATTTGTATATATCTTTCAGTACTGTGAATACAGAATCAAAGGATAGTGTATAGACACCGGCCCATTTACACACAAATTAGGGTTTTCTACGGTTGTCTCTCAACATAGTATCAGAGCTAAACGTTTGAAATCCTAAGCTCTAAATTTTTTTTTTCTTTTCCACCTAAGTTTTTTGTCGTAACTCACATAATTGTCATCTTAAAGGTACCCTTCTGAGTTGTCTTTCTTTATCACGCACCCCACCATTGTGCTGGCCGGCCATCGATCTACCTCCTGCTAGAACCGCACCACCACACACTGCCATGCCCAACCATCGAGAAATGTGACTTTTCTTTCCTGACGCGCATGACTACACACACTGCCTTGTTTCTGGTTGTTTCTTCCCCCTTCAACATCACTTCTCCCTTTCAAGTCGACCCTGTGCCTCTCCGAGTAGATCTAAGCTAGATCCAAGCCGATCCAAGCCAGATCTGTGCTTATCTTTTTCCCTGGCAATCATCTCCCTTGCCGTCACTCTTTCCTAGCTAACGTCACCCTTGCAAGCAGATCTATAGCTTTTCTTGCCTTTCCCGATCAGATCTGTTCTTCCTTGGATCTTGCAATTTATCAAGTTCCAATCATGTCTATTTCACCTTCATGCAAATCTACAATATTCAGTTCAGTAATTCCAAGTCCTCTAGTCAGTACCATTAAACCTCTTAATGGTACAAATTACTTGCATTGGGCCTTTGCAGTTGAACTTTGGTTTGAAAACCAATGCTATTCTAAACATTTAATGAAAAAGGTCTCAGATATTTCACAAACTAATAAAGATAACTGGGAAGCCATTAATACTCACTAATTTAGTCTTCTATGGAATATCATAGACCGACAACTTATTGACCTTTTTTGTCCATATCAAACATGCTATGAAGTTTGGGAGAAAGCCAAGTTGTTATACACGAATGATATTTAGCAGCAAGGTTGTTAAATCCTAAATCGTATCGATAATCGTTTTTATATTTTTTGAATCGTGAATCACGAATCGTATCGTATCGTAAGATTCAGAATATATTAATAAAATTTTTAAATATATAATTACATACTTAAAAAATAAGCAAAATACTTTCAAAAATATCAAAATATTATAAATCATGTCATATTGATGAAAAAATTCTAATCTAAATACTAATTTCTAAATAATCAATACATATTCATTCTCATCTCTTCCAACACTAATATTATTAATTTGTACATCATCATTAACCATCTTCATTCTGCTCGTCTCTATTTTCACCATCAATCTTATTCACGTGTAAAGCCTATAGTGACCCCACCAAACACACCAAACATCCAATCAATGTCATTCTTGGTCAAATACCATGTGCGATTTGAATCGTTGATACAAATCGCACCGATTCGTGTGATTCATTCACAATTCATGCTCGTATAGGATTCATTTGGAGATACGTATCGGTGGGATGCTGACTCGTATCGAATCGTGTGATTCGAATCGCGAATCGTAGGATTCTAACAACTATGTTTAGTAGTTTTATGAACTTATCTATGATCTAATCAATCTTCGACAACAAGATCAGCCCATGTCCACTTATCTAGGGTATATGCAAGGTGTTAGACCAAAGTTTACTACACTTCTTCCAATCACTTCCGATACTACCACCCAACAACCAAATTATGATAAATTCTTCATACTTCTCATTTTGGCTAGATTATCCTCAGATTTTGATTCTATTTGTCAACAAATATTGGGTAGTTCTTTCATTCCTACTATGGAGGATGTCTTTGCTCGATTATTTTGGGTTACACAACCTATACCTAATTTAGCCACTTCTGTTGAAGATTCTTTAGTTCTGGCTTCTCAATCTCATAGTACTAGTTCTAGCAATCAAGGCGGGGTAAAGTCAACGACCTCATTGTACCTATTGTTACAATATGGGTCACACTCGTAATCGATACTTCAAGCTACATGGCCGACCACCCTGCACTGCTAATGTTGCTCAATTTGATGTTTCTTCTTCTGAGGTGCCCACTTTTACTATTCTTGTTGTTGCATATGAGAGCTATCTCGCCTATCAGACTACTTAGTCATTTGTCTCTATTGCCCAAGGTGGTAATTTAGTTCTTTGCCTCACTCAATCTTCCATTGGTCCTTGGATCCTGGATTTGGGTTCTTCTGATCATGTTTCTGGTAATATTTCTGCAAATGTTACTTTCCTCGAGGAACCTTCATTTTACCCTTTTTCACCTGAGAGCTCATCTGTGTCCGATGTTCTTCTAGTTTCTTTACTTTGATCTCTTGCTAAAGCTGTTCCTTGTCGTCCTCTTCAAACTTATTCACATTGATCGTGCCCTAACTCTTCCACAGATGCCCTTGCAGATTCTTGCCTAGATCTTACGCCTTTACCGCCCTCGGTTCTTCCTCTTGATAGTCCTCCTATTGCTCTTCGCAAAGGTAATCGCTCTTTTCGCAATCTTCATCCTATTTAAACCTTTTTGAGTTACCATCTCTTGTCCTCTCCCTATTTTGCTTTTGTTACTTCCTTGTCCTCTATCCCTATTTATAAAAGTACAAGTGAGGCTTTATCCCATCCTAAATGGCAACAGGCTATGATTGATGAAATGGAAGCCTTACATTCTAGTGGCACTTAGGACCTTGTTTCCTTCCCTCCTAGCAAGTCCACAGTTGGGTGTCGATAGGTTTATACTATGACGGTTGGACCTAATGGGCAGATTGATTGCTTGAAGGCCCATCTCGTAGCCACGGGTTATACTCAAATTTATGGCTTGGATTATGGCGACACTTTCTCTCGTGTCACCAAAATTGCCTTTGTTCATCTTCTTCTCTCCACAGCTGCCATACTTCATTGACCTCTTTTCAACTTGATATCAAGAATGCATTTTTACATTGTGAGTTTGCCAAGGAAGTCTATATGGAGCAACCTCTTGGTTTAGTCGCTCAAGGAGAGTCTAGCTTAGTATGCCCTTTGTGCCAATCGATTTATGGTTTAAAACAGTCTCCACGAGCATAGTTGGGGCAATTCAGTTCAGTAGTTCAGCAATTTAGTATGATTCATAATGAGACAGATCATTTTGTTTTTGGTTGCCATCTTTCACACAATAAGAGCATTTATCTCATGGTGTATGAAGATGATATCGTTATCACAAGAGATGATGAAAAACGTATTAGTCAATTAAAACAACATCTCTTGTGTCACTTTTAGACGAAGGGTTTAGGTCGATTAAAGTATTTCCTAGGTATTGAGGTGGCTCAATCATCAATTAATATTGTTATTTCTCAAGAAAGTATGCTCTTGACATCTTAGAGGAGACTAGCCTAACAGATTATCAACCTATAGACAATCCTATGGATCTTAATATCAAACTTCTACTAGGACAAGGAAAGCCTTTGTCAAACCATGGACAATATCGGAGACTTATTGAAAATTGAACTACCATACCATGACTCGACCAGGCATTTCCTTTGCTGTAAGTGTAGTCAGTTAGTTTTACAATCTCCATATGACAGTCATTAGGATGCTACAATCTAAATTCTTAGATATATCAAAGGGGCACCTAGCCAAGGACTTCTATATGAAAACAAAGGTCATTCTCAAATCATCGGTTACTTAGATGCAGATTGGGCTAGATCACCCTCAGATAGGTGATCAACCTCAGGTTACTACATAATGTTTGGAGGCAACTTGATTTCTTGAAAAAGTAAGAAGCAGGATTTGGTTGCTAGGTTAAGTGCAGAAGTAGAGTATCGTGCCATGGCATTGGTAACATATGAACTTATATGGCTTAAGCAATTGCTTCAAGAATTGAAATTTGTAGATATTAAGCAAATGCAATTGATCTGTGATAATCAAGCTGCCTTACACATTGCCTCTAATCTGGTATTTCATGAGAGGACTAAATATATAGAAGTGGATTGTCACTTCATTAAAGAAAAGATTCAGTCTAGGTGCATTATTACTACCTTCGTTAATTCTAATGATCAGTTAGCAGATATATTCACTAAGTCTCTTAGGAGATCTCAGATTATATATATATATATATATATGTATATGTAACAAGTTTAGTGTATATGATTTATATGCTCCAGCATAAGGGGGAGTGTAGGAATATGTATATAGTTAGATTAGGAATATAAATAGGAATGTATTGCATAGGAATATTCTCATTATTTCTTTTTATTTCCTTTCCTTATTTGTATATATCCTTCAGTACTATATATACAGAATCAGAGGACAGTGTATAGACACTGACTCATTTACACACAATTTAAGGTTTTCTATGGTTGTCTCTTAACAGAACTAATTACATAGATCTTATTTCACATTTCAATGTCTAGATATAAACACATCCTTACCTACCACAAACCAGGTTATTTTGGTCTTCCTAATTCCCTATTGACAAATGTAGACATAGGGACACTTCCTAACTAAAGCACTAACATAACTTGAAAATTTCAAAATTTGAGGTAATTACTAAAATTGTGATCAAAGGGCCCTTGGCACTTGGAGGAGTCACCAAATGACCCTTCACAATTCTCCAAATTGACCATATTTAGATTTGACTCATTTTGTACTTGGCATATTATTGGAGTTAAAAAACATAGCAAAAATTTGTTTACAAAAGCATTTACTGAACAGCATAAGGAGTATCCTCCATCCTGTCAAAACCTCTAAAATGGAGTTATATTTTTGAACCCCAAGCAGAAATTAAATAAGTTAGCCAGTTCTAATTGGTTCTATAGGAAAATCTGAGAGTAATGAACCCGATTGCCAATATTATTTTGCTGGTCTTAGTATGAAAATCACGAATTGGAAATTCACCAAGTTCCATAGATTAGATGTCTTTTCTGCTTTTCTTCACTAGAATATGCAAAACTTATTTTAAGCAAAAATTGCTTTTACGCTATTTTTCCCTCATACACTTTTTTTTTTTAATCTCCAATTTATAGAGTAAAGTATAATGGATATAACCTACTCATTGGCAGTTTCCCAATAGAATAACTGCCTGTTTTTTGGCATTTCCTTTTGGCAACCCACATGAGTGCCCAGGTTGAATAACAGGTTCCATTGGAACTTGAAAGGACTCAAAATTTTTAGTAACAAAAATCACATATTGCCAGTATCCTTACTGAGTAGCATAAACTTTTATCCTTCAAGAAGGAATCAAGGTTACATTTTGCTTCAGAGTAAATTAATGGCACTTTTTCATGTTGCACGTGTTTGTGATCAAAGATTTGCATTCTTAATATCCTATCATCAACACAAACATTGGTTCCTACTTCCATCTTATCTGCTCTTTCATTATTCATGTTTGAGTGGGTAAACAATTGCCTTAATCTCTAGCTTTCCTGATGACCAATTCCAAAGAGAACTGTATTAATTTTACTAAAATATTTCTTATTTGTTATTTTCATTGGCCACACAACCCTCTACAGATAAGTTATTCTCTTTAAACATTAGCCCATGGTGACTGGATTACCAAAAGGTGCAAAAAAAATATAGCTCCAATCCAGACTCATTACATTGAGTGTGCGCACTTCTTTGTAAGTATGAATTATTCAAAGCAATCTAAGGCAAAACTCACTCATTTTTACAACTGAAACAACATGAATTTACAAATGATGCATGTGATTCCGTATATACTTAGAAAATTGACATCAGGTAGCATGTAAAGTGCAAAAGACTGGCTGCTCATTAGAAATTTTTGATGATACAAAATGCACACAGAGAGACAGAGAGACAGAGAGACAGAGAGATAGAGAGGCGCACACACGCATGCCACAGAGGTTGTCTCTGAACATTAGCAGATTGCAATTGGTCTAACCAAAAGTCAGCATAGCGTATGGCTCTGATCCGCGGGCTTTACATTGAGCTTGCACACTTCTTTATATAAATAAAAATCACTCAAAGCGTGCACAATCCAATACAAAAAGTTTACCCATCCTTACAATTATAGCAACATGAAGTTACTTCTATATTATGAAGGTCGTTCCATATATACATAGAATTGACGTTAGATAACATGCAAAGATTATCCAGCTGATCGGGAAATTTTGGTTATAATGCAGAGAAAAAGCTTTGCTCCTTCTACATGGAAGTATAAATTACTCAAAGCGCTCAAAATCTAACGCAAGCCTCACTCATCATTCCAATTGAAACAACGTGAATTAACTTCTATTTATGCAAGGAATTGCGCATATGCATGGATTGGCGTTAGATAGATAAAGAATACGTCTACTGATCGGAAGTTTTGGATAATAAAAACGCAGAAGAAAGAGGAATGGCGTACTAGTAATGGCGAGAATCCTAGGCTTAGCCATGTGTTTGCTGCCTAATTTGGCGGATTTGCCCCAGATCCCGTGGCTCTTGGCGACGCGCATCGACATTTCGATCTTCTCCTTGGATCCTTCAATCGCTGCCTCGCATGCTCGCTTGAGGTCTTGATCGTCCGCGCTCGACCTTGCCATCCCTCTATATTTCTCTCAGCTCCAGCAGCGGAGAGGAAAACGACGCTCGAATAGAGCTCTCAGGTGAAATTTTTGAACTTTTCAGAGTACGTAGTTGTTTACTTGGTTAGTTGGCAACAGAAACGGGCTTATGGGTCGGATTCCCGGTTTGCTTTCAGTTTCCGTTGGGAACGGACACGTCACATTATCCTACGCGCCGCGACGGTTATCCAGTCAGATCAGACCCGCCTTTCGCATGACAACTCTCGTCTAACCCCTCTTTTTCTTTTTAATGAATTCTCTGACCACCCAGCCAAAATGACAGTTTTGAGTCCCGTCTTACATAGATAAATAATTGGGTAAATTTTATTATTAAATTTTTAAATTTAAATTAAATATCATAATAGTCCTCCAAATTAAAAATATAATATATATATCTTTAAATTTGATATATATTTTAGTATAATTCTTTTAACTAATTTTGACTATTTTTTTATTATTCTTAGAAAATATTTGTAAGAACAAATCTGTTCTCCAGAAAGAATAGACAAAATCTGAAATTCTTCAACCAGATGGGAAGAGGGAGAAGACAATTTCACAATTTAATAAGTACAAATCTATTACAATTACAGGTTCGCATTGGAAAGAAGATCTAAAAATTTTGTCCATCTCTACCAACTCAACTCTCAGTAACTCTCTTTCATCATCACCAACTACTTGAGCCATAGTGGATAGGTTGGGAGAGATTTCGATGTCGAAGGGAAAATAAAGAAAAAAAAAAGATCGTTGCATATACATAGTCTTAAAACTTGTTTTCAGAATGTAAATATTGATGAGAAAGGGTACATAATTCTAATTTGTAATAGGAAATTTACAACGTCAATACATTGTATTTTCAAGAACGTGTAAAATTAAATTGAAAATCAAGTAGAGGATAGCTAGACAAAAGGGCTGGCTAAAGCACCAGGTTGCTATAGATTTGATATGTGACATTCTAAACTAAGTTTGGAATGTACAATCTTGGTACTTCAATATGCATCACACACTTTTTGCATTTTTACCTGTAACATCCATTTCATTCATGACATGTATATTTTAAGAAAAATTTAAAATTTAGAAAAATTTATTTATTTTTGTTTGTTAACAACCTTAGAAAAGTCTAAAGAAACCTTAGAAAACATTAGAAGGCAAGACTTATAGGATACTAAAAGAAAATTTGAAAGAAAACTAAAGTTAGGAATGAAAAAAAAACCTAATTTATGCAAGTTAATAGAAAAATAAAAATTAAAAAACAAATAAATAAAATTAGGAAAATTTATTAGTGACTACACCTAATCAAGGTCTTGACTTTAGGGAATTAGAAAATTTTTCTAAGATTAGAAGTAGAATTTCATTCAAAATGATATAAATGTAATTAAGGTGAAAGATGAGGAGCATTTTAGTCTTTTCTCAAGGTGGCTTGTGCCAACTTACTTGGAGGGTATTTAAACACTTTCATCCAGACTTTTTTCACTTTTTTGTGCTAGCTAGAGAGATAAGAGAGTAAGGGAAGAAGAAAGGAAGAAAGAAGGACAAAGCAAAGATAGGTAAGAAAAGTTCTAAATTTTTCTAGAAAATTCTTTTTTTTTCTTGTTCAAAAACTTGTAATTTTTTATTCTTTCCCTACTCTACTATCATCTATTTGAAGAAACAAAAGATTTGAAAGAGATTTTGATGCTGGAAATGAAGATATGCTGTCCAAAATATTACAGAGAAAGTAAACCTTTCTTGTTGTTGTGAGAAATATGTTTTTCTTTGAAATTTTGATATTTTTATGGATTTGTTGTGCATATATACATTCTTTATGAAGCAAAAAATAGGTATGAAACAGGGGTGTCACGTGGAAGTGAGGGAAATGGAGAGAAAATTGAAAGAAAAACCAATAAAAGGGGGTCAAAACACAAATTAGACACATGTCGTAACTTGCTAAAAAATTTCTGTAAGTTCACCCCAAGATGGCCAAACCATTAGGGTTAGAAAGAGGTCAAATTTTTGTTCAATTTTGATGCTAATAGATATATTAGAAAGTGGTTTAGTCCAGTGAAAAAGGAAATGCAAAGAAAAGAAAAAAATTTGACAAATAATGCAATATGTGTTCATTTAAGCCACGAAATTAGGCATGGAAAAGGGCTCCAATGCCACTACTAAAGTGGCTAAAAGGGATGGGAGAGTTGGTTCAAGGAAAGGAAAGAGCTAAGAAACCAAATTAAGATCAAAACTATGCCCAACTCATTAGAAAAATAAAGTGTAATAATGCAACAAATTTTTGCAAGAAATTTCACCAACTTTGGTAACTTGTTAATGGCTTTTAAGGAGCTTAATAAAGCACTAAATCAAGATTAATTGATAGTTTAGAAAGTGGTTAAAATCAATTAATGAGAAAGCAAGAGCAATTGGCTCAATTTTACTTGAAACCTAGCTTACCTAAGTTAGGTTAGAACACTCTGTTCATCAAATGCATAAATGCTGCCGGTACATTAGTTAATTCAAAGGGCATTACCAAGAACTTATAATACCCATACCTTGTCTTGAATGCCATCTTTGGTATATTCTCTTCCTTAATCTTAAGCTAATAACAACTTGATCTCAAATCTATTTTAGAAAATACTCGAGCTTCTTGCAACTAATCAAACAAGTCTTCTATTGTTGGTAACGAATACTTATTCTTGATTGTCACATTATTTAGCTGCATGTAATTTATACATAACCTCAAAGTGCCATCTTTCTTCTTTACAAATAGTACTAGTGCTCAACAAGGTGAAGTGCTCGATCGACTAAACCTTTTATTAATAAACTCTTGCAACTGAATTTTGAGTTCTTTTAACTCTACTGATGCCATTCTATAGAAAGCTTGTGTAATGGGTTATGTTCTAGAAATCAAGTCTATTTTTTCCAATTATTGAGGTGATGACATCAGCTCCCTTTTGCATCGTCTCCTTTGAGCTTTGACAAAGATGCCAATAATAACACAAAAAGGAATGATCGTCATTCAAGGTAGAAATGAGTTGAGTTAACTGATGAGTAGCTCATAATTTGATTTGATTTGATAATTATAATAAGTAATACATGAGCTAAACTTTTTAACTCACATAAAATATAAATCGAGCTTTAATTAAAAAATATTCATCTCATTTGATTTATAAGTTAGTTTAACATATATGTAACATGATTATATTATATATGATTTTTTAAAATTATTATAATCACTTTTTCTAACTTATGATAATAAGTGAAGATATTGTGAATTTATAATTATAATTCACTATTTTTAGTAGTTGCTTAGATGGAATATGTGAATTATCAAATTTTTTTTAATTTTTAATATTATGAACTAATGAACCGAGTCAAGTTACTTGTGAGTTTAGTACGAGTTAAATCTGTGCCAAAAAAACTAGCTCTCTTAAAAACTTAACTGAATTATGAATTAAACTAAATTTAATTGAGTTAAGTCTAAGTTGAGTTTAACTTAGTTTAACTTAGACTCATTTCTACCTTAAGCACCATAGAATCAATGTCGTTGGCTACTGTGACTGTGTTGATGGTGTGGATGTGGTCGGCAAATAGCCTCTGGTGCGTTGCGCAAAAGTAGGGTATGGTGGACAAACTCGTCCATCTTCATTTCTCATTGCAAATCAAAGCTTTATCAAGGATGCAAATAATGGTAGACCCAAGGAGTACAGTCACAAAATTGATGTCACCGGCTACGATGATTGCGTTGCTAGCGTGGAGGTTGCCAACAGCAAGCCTCTAGTACGAGGCATGAAAGTTAGGGATAGCCGGTATCACTAAGATGTATTCATCACCACCGTTGAGCCATAGGACACGGCATTGTCAGATTTAGTCGATTTCACCCATCCTAGGGACAGTCTTGGCAGCGACAAAACGATAATTATACAATGATGAAACGGCAACGACAAGCAACAGTATAGCAAAGCAATCAAATTGCCAAAGCCAAAATGTTTGCAGAGGCAGCGTTGGTATTGATTTAGTTTCCTCAATTACAGAGTTTTGGTGGGCAATTGAAACATTGAGATTTCGAAAGTGAGACATGATTTCACACTTAAAAGATGCTATCGTTTCAACTCATTTATTTTTCTCACTTTATTTTGTTCTCTACAACGTCTCTAGATGAAGTATATATAATATGATTCAAATAAGTAAAACAAATAATCACTAGAATATCGAATTCTATAGAGCGCACTTAATTATGCTGAGAAATATTCAATTCGTATTTTGAGTAATTTATGTAATTTTTCCTATTACTACTTCCATCAAATTATATTTGATATTCTTACTTTGTATTTTCTTTCCTACTTTTAATTTTGTCTTTATATTTAATATATTGAAATAAAAGCAAAAAAAAAAAAAAAACCACAAAGAATTATTTAAACACAAAAATACTTTTTATTAAAAAGATTTAAAAATTAAATAAACTTTAACTTCTAATATACTAAAATATAACAAAAAGTTATAAAATTATATTTTAAAAAATAATTCATCCTTTAAATTTTTAAAGAAAATGTAGAGAATATAAACTAAGCATTTGTCATAGTTTGTCTTATTCCTGTCCCAACCTGTTCCAAATATTTAGATGAGGTAGTTCCCCACTTTCCCAGTCTATTGCCATATTTTCCCATTTTTAAATTTGTTATTAATTTTTTACCTTTTTTGAAAATTAAATATTTATTATTTCTACCTTTTTTCACTCCAAAACACCTCAAAAACATTTATCACCATTTTTCTTGGTTTCTTCCATTTAATATTTATACTGATTTTTTTCCTTTTTGAAAATTAAATAATTATTATCTTCATCCTCTCCCACTCCAAAACACCCCAACCAACATTCAAATATTTTTCCCCTATCATCTCCTATTTTTCCCTATTTTCCTTTTTTCTTACTTTTAGTTTTTTTCAATAATTAAAAAAAATATTTGTAGCTCTACTAATAAATTTAATTATATAAGATAATTATGGCATTTACT